AACCAAAAACACAACACCTTCAGGTTATGCATATCACACGTAGCTATTTTATTACCCTCTCAAACTACTGTAACTAGTTATAGATATGTTTAGTTTTACTGTCGGGTCACTTCATTTACTGGATCCGCGAGCTGCATGATACTGGAATATAATAAAGATTGCCCGATCGGGCAACCAGCAGGTGAGGCTTCATGGCCCGAGCTAAATACTAGATGGCCACGGGCATCGGGCAGTCCTTAATGGTCGAGACCTGCAGTCTTATCTTTCCGAAAATAAATCATTTCTTTTCAATCGTATTTCATTTGGTTTATTATCATACCTTTTACCTCCTTGTGTATCTTAACCTGTTACAATGTTATATTTTGCTGCATGTATCTGTAAAAAGTCCTAATGTCTGAGGGGGACTTTCTTGTGTTTATTTTTAAACTTGTGATGTGTCGCATTTTGTAAAAGCATTTTGAGCTGCACGTGCTGTATGAAAAGTGCTGTATAAATAAAGCTTTATTATTACAAACCGTTTTTTATGTTCTGACCAGCGTTCACACTATGCCAAAACAAGGCCACAGAGACGCCGTTTCTCCAATTGAATTGGATGTTTTTAATGGTTCGCTGAACTATGAAAGAAATGTTACTATGCTGTGTTTTCAACCATGGATTTATATCTTCAACTGCTTAGCCTCGTTAATATTATTGAAGAATTTAGTTTCACTGTTCATTAATCTGCAGGAGTAGTTTCTCCAATAATCTGTTTTGGTTAATAAAATGTTTGTGACTTCAAACTTCTATTGTGATTGTTTTTATAATCCTGTTGATGTTAGCAGTCTGTTCTGGAGTTGCAGTCGAATTGTTCCAAAAATCTGCTCCTTTCGTCTTTTCCTATCCCACTATTCCCGGGGTTAAATGCCTTTACTATGTTTACCGATCAAGGCAGTGGTATAAAAAGCTACGAACAAAGAACGGGGCAACAAAAACAAGGTGTTTAACGGATGAAAGCCACAGATGATCACCCTCCAAGATAAACTAACTCTTTGTATGTCGTTTTTAAAAGTGTCTTGAACACATTACATTCGGTATTGAAAATCCAATGCATCATGGGGATTGTAGTTTTTCTTTTAAACATAAATTTTCACTGCCCTCTGTTGGTGTTAAAATATTGGAATAATTACCATTATTATGTAATAATAATACTTATAACTTAATA